TGTAAAAAGGGGACTGACAAGGCCTCAGCAGCAGCCAAGCCTGTGCTTTGCATGGATTCTTCTCCACCTCTCTTGCAGCTGAGGGGCCCCTCTCTTGGCACCAGCTCCCCAAAATTAGAATAGCAGGGAGCTTAAGAAAACACCAAATGTTCTTACAATGCCATAGTGAAGTGAAAATGGAAATTGGTCAACTAAAATCATCCAAAGCTGTTAAAAGCTCCCTGTTTAATATGATTTTCTATGAACTTTAGAAAGAGTTAAAAAAAAAAACATGTTTGGCCTAAGTTGAAAGGTTGGTAGATTTAGTAAGCTGATCCACTGGTTTCACCAAACTGGGCTAGCATCCAGGAATAGGGAGGTCCATTATCTTTTGGGACACTTCTTCCTCACCAAAAGGACTGTCGAAAGACACATCCCACCCCGGCTGGTGGTTTCTATTTTACCACCAAATCTACAATACAGGAGGGAGGGAATCATGATAAATCCCAAGGGGTGTGCAAGACGCTGAGTTTCTGTACATTTAGTGTTACCAGTTCCTTTCCCCAAGAGGAAGGAATGCTGTTCCTGTGCCCTTATTACAAGCTCATCGCCTCCACCCTCCCGTCCGTGATCACCACGATCGTCTACTAGACAAACGCAGTCTTTTAGAACATACTATCATTGTGCTTTACAGTCGGTCACATAAATCATGGAGACCATGCTGTTTGCTTCTGCCCCCAGCACCAGCCACAGCCTTGTTCTCTGCGGTCCCGCCTTCTCCCGCACAGTTCTGATGGCCGCACAGTTCTGATCGCTGGTTGGCTACGTTTTCTCCTCTGCATGGCCACTGATGCAAGCTTCCATGATGCAGCACACCCTTTGAAGCTGTTCTTCCAAATCCATTTAAACTGTATCTATTTTCGAACTGCGTGATCCTTCACCCCAAATAGCAGCTTGTCAGGCTGCAGTCACCTTGCTAACCCTGGTTTGCATTATGTCTGCTCCCTTGTTGCTATTAAGGGGATTAATTTTTTTTTTTTTGGTGAGGAATATTGGCCCTGAGTTAACACCTGTCACCAATCTTCCTCTTTTTGCTTGAGGTAGATTGTTGCTGAGCTAACATCTGTGCCAATCTTCCTCTACTTTATATGTGGGACGCTGCCACAGCATGGCTTGATAAGCGGTGTGTAGGTCCACACCTGGGATCTGAACCTATGAACCCCAGGTCACCGAAGCAGAGCACGCGAACTTAACCACTACACCACGGGGCTGGCCCCGCAGGGATTAATTTTTATCTGACAATTCTCCCATTTTGAAGCTCATCTTTTGGATGGACTAAAGCTCCCCCTTTTCTCAGCCTCACTCCCATGAGATGGTCTAAGGAAATCAGTCCGTGCTTCCCTGAGCATTCGTAAAGGCAGCTCTGAAGGAGGGAAGGCAAGATGCTAACAGGAAAATACTTCTACTTTTCTACTCTGCGCTCCTCCTAAACCCATCTCCTCTTCCAACTGGGTAGAAGACATTTGCTTCTTTTCTTGAAGCCCAGTGGTTCAAAAAAACTCCTGGATAAAAGCGTGAGGAAAGAACCAACTTTTGGAGTAGGAGATATTCTAAATTTAAATTGAAAGTCTATACTAGAAAATAAATAAATATGTGCACTGTAGCATGCTGAAATATTAGTCTCTTATAAACTGTCCAAGGTGACACAGCCGGATCCAAGGCAGATGCTGAACCCAAAATGTCAGGACCTGAAGAGTGAGCCCACTCTGATGGAAAGATGAATTTTTGTTCTGGACAGTACACGTTTTCCTTTGAAAAGCAGTTAGCATCGTTGGGTCATTGAGTGTTTGCAGGATCCGTGGCGTCAGCTCTTCTGAAAGACCCAGGGAGAATAGCTAGCTTGCCCCAAGCAGCTGGATGCAGGACAGTGCTCCAATCCTAGACCATGCAGAGAAAACTGTGGAACCACCAAAAGCTCGTACTTTGTATGTAATATCATCCACTGGAATGGATGATATAAACACGAAGCGTGCTGCTCTTGACTGTTTCCATGACCTCTGCTATGTTGATTTCCTGACGCTAAGAAGTTTTAAAATTAAAAAAAAAAATGAAAATAGTCAAGAGATTTACTCTTAAAAGCTTTGAAAGTAGGATAAACTGAGCGTAAATAAGAAGATTCTCTCTCACGGGGTGGGGGGTGTCATTGGTGGCGCCATTTCTGATCCTTATCTCATAGTTAAGAATAACTGATTCACATGTTTATTAACCATTTATTGTGCACCTTCTGTGTCAGGCAGGATGCTAGGTCCTGGAGATAAAAGGTGACTAAGTACATTCCCTGCCTTGAGAAGTTCAGAGCCTACGAGGAGCAGCAGATGTAAAGAAGGAATACGAGAAGTGCCATGGAAAGGTATGTACATATTACAGTGACAGCTTAACATCTAATTTAGAAGAAAAAAACAACACTTACATTTTTTCTATGCATCTTTTTTTTAAAAATTTTATTTATTTTTTCCCCAAAGCTCCAGTAGATAGTTGTATGTCATAGCTGCACATCCTTCTAGTTGCTGCATGTGGGACGCAGCCTCAGCATGGCCAGAGAAGCGGTGCGTCGGTGCGTGCCCGGGATCCGAACCCAGGCCGCCAGCAGCGGAGTGCGTGCACTTAACCACTAAGCCACGGGACCGGCCCTCTATGCATCTTTTAATGACAATTCCTCTAGCCAAGATGTTGGACCAATCGATTGAATCATGATAAGGATAATGTATGGGAGACACTTCATACACAGCATACTCAAATACTACTGTTTTTCGTGTTGAAGAAACCCCTGTTTCAAGCATGGCAGCAAGGGCTCCAGGATGGGGGCCTCAGGGCCAGATAGCCTACTGGCTGGAAACAGGGCAGTTCAGAGGAAAAGGCCCTGGAGAATGAGCCCAGAAGGCTGGCTTCCAGCTGGTTCCATTACTGGGTGCTTGGGCAAGTCACCTATCCTCTCTGAGTCATTTCCTTTTCTAAAAAATTATGGGTTTTGACTAGTTCAACCTCAAGTTCCTTTCCAACAAAGGATTCTGAGTCTCAGTTTCTATGGTGATAATCTACCCTGAGACAGTTCTAGTTCCAGATGGTTTTTAGATCTAGGATTAGAATAATTAAACAAACAAAACCTCTACATGGGAAATCAAAGCATTTTTCTAGATCTTAAGTGGTTATCATTTCAAATAAACTTGTTGCTCTTGTTTTAGAGGTACAGAGTATTGCCTGTTAGCTGAAGGAGAGAAGGAATATCCTGAAACCCAATCTGGTGAAGTTCTCTATTGGACTCAACTATAGCTGTGGGAAGATGTTTAAATGGAGCAAAGGAGATAGAGGAGGTCAGACCCCAGGGTGCAGAGCCAGCAACAACCCAAAGCTTCTAGCTTTCCACGCTGATGAGGTCCAAGTCACAGAACCTGGCATCTGAATCAACTCGACTTTCACCTTCCAGTCATTTAACACAGTCTCCAAAAGCTGAGGTCTATTCTTGGAATAGAAGCCTTCTCTGTTTTTCCTAAAATCCTCTTAAACAGTTTCAAGGTTGTTCAGGGTTTTGTTAATATTTTAGGGAACTATGGAAAAACCATAGAGAGAAATAATGCAAACAGGGGAGCAGAGTTGCCTGGGGTAACCTGTTCTGACTCAAAAAGGCATGCGATCAGCAATTCCTCCCCCGTGAGGTGGCGCCCAGTTTCATGAGGGACGGACTGGTCAGAAGGGCTGGGTTGGGGTGACGGGGTGGCTGAGGACACAAGGTCATGACTCGGGTGGCAGAGGTGTTCTGTGATGGACTATTTGTCTCGTGCTGCTCTTGTTACAATCTATTCAGGTGTTGGATCATTGGATCAAATATTAAGCTGTGGGCTTTGAAAAAATATCCATTAAAAGTTTAAAACAAGTGTAGGGCTTGATTTTAAAGGACCGATACCAGGACGCATCAAGCTGAATGGTTCTTGTGATCCTGGCAGGAAGGACAACAATTGCTGTGTTTCTGTCATCAGCATAACCCAACACCTTTCACTGCCTCAGGTCCTTGTGATCGGTCATTATGATGGGAACTGCACACACCCAGTCATTTCTGTAACATGCTTATACTGTATTATATAAACGGAGAATTTCTACAGGACCCAACAGGAAATGTGTGGCCACAGCAAACAATGAAAACTGAACTGAGTTCAAAAGACCCATATTTCTTTTTATCCTCTTCTCATCTCTATCTTTAGAATCCAAAGGGCACAGTCTATAACGTAAGGGTGTTTATAAATTTTATAAACAACCTTAAATTATATACCATGTGCTTTGGATCATAGAGCATGTATTTTCTCCATGTTTTTTGAACATTATCTTGTGCATGTGAATTACCCATGGGAGTGGATAAAGGAAGGATGGTGCTGTTTATTTAAGGCTGTGCATGGAGTCACCGATGGCATTGTCAATGCCGCTGTGTTATCCACTTGTGTTCACAGCTGTATCCTTGAAGAGGGCCCAGGGCTTGGGATGTAGTAGGTGTTCGATAAGTATGTGTTGAATGATGAATAAATAAGTGGATACATCAGCCAGATGTAATTAGCAAAGGAACTTTTACCGGGGAAAAGGAAATATCACCAATTGAATTTGGAAAAGGGGCAGGGATGGTTGTACAGTTGACTCTGGATATTTAAAAATGGGCTGGAAATTATCTAGCAAGACAAGAGTATTATTAAATTTGAAGGCAAAGTCTGCCATTCTTCAGCATTTAAGAAGTCCCAAGGAAACTTGACCCTTTATTCTTAGATTCAATGACCTCCTCGAATAACAACCGTTCATATTTTGGGAAGAAAATGTGTTGAAGAGGCTGTTCCTTAATCTAGTATAACATCACATTTTGCAATACCAGACCTCTCCCTTTAAAATGACTTTCCCCTCCTTTCCAAAAACAAAAACAGAGAGAGAATGAGAAAAAGGGAGAGATGGCGAGAGCGAGCGTGTGTGTTGGTCCGTCTCCTTACCGTCAGCGATAAGGCCATGCAGATGAATGTGAACTTCTTGATGTGGGCTGCTGCGACTGTGCTGCTGCTGTTGGCCAGCTTATTGCTGGGGTTATTCTAGAGGGAAAGAAAAGGACAACGATGACTGGCCTCCGGTTACCCTTGGCTGACCACATGAGCATCTCGTTTCTGTTTTACATGATGCGTCAGAAGTCAAGATGTCAAGTGACAGCCTGGAAGACGGCTGTCACGTTAAGTGTCTCTCAGACAGCTGTCAGGTTTCTGGACGTGAACATTAACCAGAGGGAGCTCCGGAGTGAACGCCCGGCAGTGTCTCCTGAATCCTCCCCTCCCCTTCGGGCTGGGCGCCCACCCAGCCCAGTTTAGGGCCTCAGCCCGGGTGCTCCCCCCTGCGCACCACAGACATCTCCCTGAATACCATGGCCCTGCTCGTTGACCTACAGGGCCCTCTCCTCCCCCTAAATGGACTATAAGCTCGACTGGGCATTCAAGGCCTATTGCCCTGACCCCGACTCACTTCCCCGCCATACCTTCTTGACCTGTATCCCAAAGGGAAGCTCTTGCTCTTCCCCTGGCACACTTAGAGCTTTCCCGTTTCTGTGCTTTTGTGTATTCTTCTCTCGTTGGATCTTCTGATCTCAAAAACACCCCTCTCTTCAAGGCCCACCATCCTCACAGCCCATCTGTTCCTTAAAGTCTCTCTGATCTTATACTTCCAAACTGCCCCCGGGCCCCCGTTCCTGTACGGTCCACCACCCGGGAGCTCTCTGCAGGCAGGTAGGGTATCCTGTACTCAGGGGGCCTGTGTCAAAGCCCCTGTGAGGTGTGCTCACTCTCTGAGATAAAGGACTGAGTGTTGCACCCTTCTCTTTAGCTCCTGCAACTTGGCACAACACTTCTTGCGTAGAGAAGGTGCTCAAAAAGCCTTTGTTAAATCAAGTTTTAAGCAAATTGGCTTGGCTGTCCTCCTACACATCCCTGAACCTGAGGCTTTGCTGAAGCCATCCTGGTGTCACTGCTAAGTATGCCCATCACCCAATCAAAACAAGTGCCAGGCTCTTGCCTGTGACAACCAGCAGAGAAAAATAACCCCAGCCTTGTTATGGATCCAATTAGTCCCAGAGATGACTAACAAAAATCACCCCTGAGTACCTGGCTCCTCATCCAGTCTAAGGAGAGCCACCCAAGCAGAGCTATTAGAGGTTCCACTTGGAAAAGAGCTTTGATGGTTCCTTTACTTCAGAGGCCAAAGAAATCTCTTAAATCCCTTCCCCTTATAGATGCCACCAGCACAAACCTCTGAATGGGTTTACCTTTTCTTAATTCCAGTCTCTGAAACATATCTGCTTTTCTGAGTAACAGGCTGCCATAGCAAAGTGCAGATCACAGGGAGTGGGACATCTCCCCCTCTGTACCCACCCTGAGATCTGTGAGAGTGGCGCCCTGGTGGGCTGAGTGACAAGGCGGCCAGGCTGCAAAGAATCAGGCAACCTCAAAATGCAACCGTCACCTCTGGTGACAACAATGTGCCATAGCGCCTTCAGGTGCACTTTTATTTTTAAAATACCAAATATTTCTGCAAGTATGGTGGGAATAAACTAGCTTGTATCATTAGATTAGCATCTGGGTTTTGTTTTGTGTGCCCAATCTGCTTAGAAACATACTCTTTTGCAGATGAGAACTGAACATTAGAGAGATCTGGTACTTGTAGAAAACTCTCCCAGTCCAATATTTAGCTAGAACCCTCAGAGTTATGCAAGAAATTTTGAATCTCTTCTTCTGGAACCCACAAAGAGGCTAAGGATTTCAACTGTCAATGCAGCAAATTCTGGAAGTCCACACGGAGGTGTCTAAGATTTGGGTGAATAGATGGCATTCATATAAATGGCCTGGAGCAGCTCAGTGGAATGCTTGGAAGCAGTGGGTGAGGTTTCAAAAGGATTCTGAGTAACTCCAGCTTCCGGCTAGAGATATGTTCGTTAAAGGAATTTTTTCGTAGCAGCTAACCTCTGTGATCACGAATAAAACAATGTTTTTCTTGGATGCTCCTGTTGAAACTGTATAGGGTAGTATTGTTAAGTTTTATTATTTCAAGGTAGCCAAAAACAATTTCAGAGGAGACTTTCATAGCCAGGAGGTTCTGAAACTTTAGTATCTGCTATTCTCATCAAGTTTTCTTATATAATCTGGCATATTATATATGCCAGAAATTTAGCAGGAAGACTTATATCCATTTTGGTTTTCTAGGATTTACTTCTATATACACGTTCCTTGAAATGAAAACAATGATTTCTATCAGTAGATTGGATTAAACCCATTCAAACACAGACCGTCAGCTGTCTCCTGGGAGTGACTCACGACTTCTGAAGTCCACTCTCCAAGTTCTGTGAAGCAGGACTCAAATGCATTTTTCAGGAGATGCTCTGCATCCTGATGTTGCAAGTGAATGTTTGAAGTAGGTGGTAGGTCCAACTAACAGCCTATTGGGGAAGTTCCACACTCAGTAAAGAGTTCTGGGCACCACCACTCTCTCTCACGTTAGGCTGTGTGGTGGGAATCCTTGAAGGGTTTCGAGGTGAGGTGCTGAGCATGGGTGTGGGAAAAGAGGAAGGTGACGGTGACACAGAATAGCATGGGGGATGGGTGGGTGTGGAAGGATGCCGTGGACGGGGAGGTGTGAGCAGAGGGGTTTGTGCTTGCAATGAGCATGCACACTAACACGTAAATTCCGCCTATGGGCCGCAGGTGTAGAGAAGGAGGTGGACCCACAGTGGACGATGTCTTTCCAGCCTTTATCCTCCATCTGCACCTCATCCCTGTCAGAGATGCTCAGGGGGTGCCCTCAGGTCAGGGCGCTGGGTGGAGGGAAAACCTCTCCCGGGCCCCCACTCCACAGGTCTTGCCCCCTCCCAGGAGCCCACAGACAGTTTAAAGGGGAGCATTTCAGAAGCTGGCAGGTGTGAAGGAGTAAGATAAGCTTACAGCCTGTGGCCTGGCCTTGCTTTGTATAGTTTCCCTGGGTTTCCTATACCCGTGGGGTCTGGGTGGGGGTGGGGAGAAGGAGGGAGGAGGGAGGCCAGCCTTAGCCAGCCAGAACCCAACTGCCCATGCTGCCAGACTTGATCTGCTGGGACCCCGGCAAAGAGGCTTCCTCTTCTCTCCTCCCAGGGCTCTTGTTGGGATAAGATAAAATGGCATTGGTGATGGCTTTGAGCTAGTTCTATAGCAATTCGAGACCAAACTTGTCTTCTATCAAGAGTACAAGTGGCAGGTTGGGTGCTTCTTTCCTATTTTTCATTTAAAAACACTGCACACTATCTGTTTTGGGGTCTCTCTTACTACTTATTTGTTTTAGGATAAAAGTCTACAGGTTCAAATAATTAAGAATTAATCAAATTGACATTTATGGAATGATCGGTGGGACAGCCCTGACCCAGCCATAGGCTACAGGTCTGAGGGGTTACGTGCCTCCCTCGGCCGTGTGAGCAGCTGCAGGAGGACAGAGCAGCTGTTAGCAGAGGCTTTCAGCTGGAACAAGTCTGCTGCACCCAAACCAACCTGGACCCGAGCCTGCGGCACAGACAACTAGAGCGTGCACGTACCACAGCACACAGGAAGAGGGCCGTAAGCTCGTTAGCTCATGTACACAACTTCCTGTCTGTACCTTCACCTCTGCCATGAGGTGAGGAAAGTATTAGTTTAATTTAAAAAAAAAACAAACCACAGAAACAAAATCCAACGTATTAAAAATTTTTGAGAGTATATTTTCCCTTTTGCAAATAAATACTGTCTCAGTAGGAATAACCTAAAGGTGAATATCAGTTTGGAGAAACATTTTAGAATCAGCATCAAGGTGAGCTTCAGTCGCCTCTGCTATTTTCTGAGGGAAGTGTTCCACAGTTAGCTGCAACATCCCCAACACCACATTAACCTTACAAAGGGAGGGGAGATGGAGGAACACAAAGTGCTCCTCACCGGAGATGCCTGTCTATCAAACGCTCATTTTCAAAAGTGTGTTTAAGACACCACGACGCACAGGTTCTCACCTTGTCAAAAGCAGGGTAGACAGCGCGGATTTCCGTCAACCAACCATATGGCATGTGGCCCACGGGGTACGTGGCTGTCAAAATTGCCACTGCCTACAAGAGGAAGAGCCAGCAGAGTGAGCGTCGGCATCCGCAGAGAGCATTTCCAGTAGCTGCCGCTGGCCGCGTGGCAGAGCAAGCTGTCTCAGGTGCGGCCCCCACTGACAGATCACTCCACACTGGGTGACAAGCATTGGCCAGCCACAGGATGGCCTGGGAGTGGGAGAAAGGGGCAGCACTCCACCGCGCCCCTGGGAGTGGGTTGTGTGGGCCCAGGGAGGACACCTGAGACCAGGAAGCTATGGCTTGTTTTACACGAATCCGAGAAACAGGTTCAGGTGGCTGGCTCAGAAGCCAAGATTCCAACCAGGTCCACCAGACTCCAGAATCTTTGCTCTTTCCATCGAGCCAAACCCAACCCTCTCGTCTGGCCCAATTCTTGAGGCTCAAAATGTGCTTTTGAGCCCTCTCTCCTCTCCGGAGGGTCTTCCCTCAGGATCCACCTCTACGTCTGCATGCTGTCCCTCAGGGTGGCTGACGGTATGGGTTTGTCGATGGCTTTATAGTACCATCCTTCTAACTCAACTCATGTCCAATCTGTTCCATCAGCATAGCCCAATTTTGATTTTTAATTTAAGAAAGCTAAATAAAGATTTCTTACAGGAAGCCAAAAATGTTCTTTCATGAAAATGAGAGTTTCTTTTCTTATGTGAATGCAAGGAAGGAAAAGGAAAACAAGGCATCTAACCCTACATTTTGGCAGAGTTCAACTCCCTAACTAGCTAGTAAAGGAGGAGTACAGGCTTCATCTATTTTAATTAACGTAACAGTGATGCCAGGAACATGAGATAAGTCCCCAGCTGGGTGAAGACACTACTGTGAGGAGTGGGGTGGAACAAAAGAGAGTGCTGGAATCAGGTGCACACGGACTCAGACCTCCCCTTCATCACCTACCAGCTGTGTGAAGCATGAGCCCTCTCAGCCCTCCCTTCCCCTTCTCCAGCAGAGCCGTGAGACTAACAATACCTACCTTGCAGGGTTGGTGGGAGTCAATGAAATGTGCATTAAGGCCGACACATTAGACGATTGATAAATGCCAGTTCTGTACCCCACATGCTGTGTCTCTATGCCACTGAGGTCGATTTAGAAACATTCCTAATACATAATTTGCCTTGTTTTTCTAAGGGGAAGATGGAGTTCTAGCACACGGGTGATAGGGGTCACATACTTTTTATTGGGCAACATAAACTGACGTGGGTAAGTGAAAAAGCTGTGGTATTATAGAAGCCATGCAAAATGACATTCATGAGTCAAAAAACAAAATCCAGGAACAAACTGAGGCAAGAAGGAAGCATTCTGCTCGTGATTTATGGGCCTCTTTTTCCCAGCCAACATGAGCTGCTTCCCAGGACGTGGAAACTGGCAGGAGACCCCAGGCAGGAGACATGCTGACAGCGCAGTCCAGAGCCATGTGTAAACAGGAGGCCCTAACGAGCAGCCACCAGCCTTCCTGAAGGATCAGCAGTTCCAGAGACAGAATTAATTCTCCAGAGGGCAGCGGGGGAGGCAACAAATGAAGTAATTCTATTTGTTCATACCATACTTGAAAGATGGAAAAGATGATTCAACTCTTTCTTTGGAGTAACTGCCAGTTTCCAGATAAATTTCTGGAGTTGTGAGTGAGTAAATAATGGGGATCCTCATTTGGAGGAGGCAGATTGCCAAAAATCACAAAGCCATGATGGGTTGCGTGGTATATGCAGAGGTGAGAAGAAAGAACAGGTGAGAGTAGGTGGATCAAAATGGAGGCACCTGCCCTTCCCCCTCTGGGTATTTCCACTTCTGCTGCTGCCCCGTGGCACATTCCATCGTCCTCTGCAGCTACAAGGAGGAGGCATCATGCTGACTCCATGGACAAATGGAAAGGCTGTTGGGCGGATTAAAGAAAATCTGTGTTCTAATTTTAGCCCAGCTTCTTGCTGGTTTTGTGCCCCTAACCTTGTGGTTTTGCCTCAGTTTCCTAATATGATCAATGAGAAGGATGAATGAGATGTTTTCTTCCATACTCATAAAGATACAAAATTACATGATTATAAGTCACTGAATGAGAGCCTCATGGCTTCCTAGTGTGAATGCGTCACATAATTTAATATCACAGCATTACTTGAGCCCTCAGGATGAATTGGAAAAAAATTTGTAATCTACCTCCCCCATCCCCAATCTTTACAAGGTGACTATGAGTGTCTACATGCCCGGAAACTGCCCTACCTCCGTAGCTGCAGAACTGCCACCAAGGTCCCGGGAAACAAAGAGGTTGACAATAGGCCTACTGATTCTCTGTGTAGCCAAGATGAGAGCCAAAGGCCACCAGAAGCTCAGCATCTTTCTTACTGTTGCATCTCCCTGCATCAAAAAATGGAGATAAAAGTTCACTGAACTTGAGAAGCAGAATAGAAAAACGAATTCAGAGCCAAAGCCTTTCCTTTTGATGTCAATCATGAGTCAATTTACTATACTTAAAAATAATATAGGGAAAGTCTTTGTAGACAAGCCAAGTTGAATTAAAGTAAAATGTACAGTCTTATTAGAAATTAACTAGGACAGTTGGCAAGCTACTGTGAAATCAAAACACACATTTAAGCTTGATGGATCCAATTATTTTCCAAAAAGGACAACTCTAACCAAGGCAGAACCCAACTCCATGGCCTGAGAAACAGGTTGGAAATTAGTTTTTGTTTAAGTCATCAAACTGACTGGCTAGAAGCCAGGCCAGTAAGAGGTAACTCTTAGAAGTAAAGAATTATTATAATTTATTTTGGAATCAGTCAGCACACAAATGAGCTTAATTATTTGGGCACTGTACAAATCTACTATAGCGGTTCTTACTCTCAAAGCTCTAACAGAAGTCATGTAAATGTTTAGAAGCATAAGCAAAATAAAAGCATGGTAAAGAAAAGGCAATTTACTAAGAATTCTACAGCAAAGATGTGTGCTATCTTTAAAGCCTATCTTTAAAGGCTTTCATTATTTAACTATGCTTTTGATTCTTCATGAAGGTAAGAGTTCCACTGTGGAACCTTCTCAGCCACCTTAACTTATTTCTCTTTGCTGGTGGCTGAATGTTAAGAGATGGATTTTTATCATCAAGACCAATATGATGTGGTTGTCCTAGTGATGGAAATAACTAGATCAGATTTTATCGATGGCCTGACCTTGGATCGAGGTGTGTGGTCAATACAATTATTGCTGTGACATGATTAAAGTAGCATATGGTCAAAGGTGGGATCAGGGGGTGAAGTGTGGTGATTTATTCAGACATTATCATGTACATCTGCCTTATAGCTAGATGGAAACAAACCCAAATGATGTCTAATACCCAAGGGTAGAAAAGATTAGCATACATATAAATCAGACTACTTATACTTATGATGAAAAGGATGCTTTGGTCATTTGCGTAAGATTATACCTTGCTTGCGTCTTATTCAACATTCGATGCACCTGCCAAGCTCTGCCTCCATCAAGGAGGCATTTCAGACCACATCACTATCTTCCTTCCAGCTTCAATGGCTCTTGTGTTCTCACAGCAGTCTATGTGTGTCTTGGATTCATGTCTAACTGTTGCTTCTGTGTTGGTCTTATCTGCCAAATGGGATGTAAAGCTGCTGGAGGGTGGAAACCATATCAAAATTTTCTGCGTCGCCCTATGGTACCTAAATGCTCTGCTCACTCCATAGAAAGTACCTGAATGAGCAATTGAGATTGGCTAGTACAGAAAGTATGAACAAAGCCTGGATCACTGCTGTGAAATTAAAAATAATCAAATGTGAATTCAAAGGAATCATGGGTCCTAAAATCTTTGTTGACTTATAGAATAACTAATTTTCGGACAATAGAGAGTAAAAAGAGCCATACATATTGCATCTACTCCTCGGCCTGACATGACTCACCGTGCCTCAGTCTCCTCCTCTGGAGATAAGGAGGCTGGATGGAGACCTCTAAGATCTTTTCCATCTCCAGAGTTCATTAATTCTCCAACTGTCTTTCCCTGTGGACAGTACTTGGCACTTGGCTTTTGGGTACGACATCCTAGAGCACCTGCTGATTATAGTGACTTCTCATTTCACATGGGGTGGGGTAAAACTTTACTCCACTGGAATGTACAGACAGGCTGTCAGTGAGTTCTAAGGACATACCCCCAGCTCTGGTCCACTCCTGTCGGGGATGATGTCGTGGATGTTCTTGTAGTAGCCCAGGCACAGGGTGGTGCAGCGCACAAGGGCACCCATGTACAAGGAAAGGATCGGGATGAGCAGGGGCTCTCGGCATTCCAGGTGACTGTGAAGCAAAATGGCTACAAAAACGACCTGAGAGATGGGAAAACAAGAACAAGTCAGAGGGGAGAAGATGGAACCCATCGATAGAAGCACAGCTCGACCTCTTGCACCTGGATAAGACAGATCTCTGAGCGAAAACCTCACGGCTGATGAGAAAGAGAACAGAGACTTGGGCTACAGCTCAATGCTGCTCTCGTAGAATTCAGGGTCATTTGAAATTCACTGGAAGAGCACACAATCATTTCGTTATATCCACCACTAAGATTATTTTAAGGCAACTGCACATGTGGCTAAGGTTATCATTAAAAAATATCTAGAAACTTTGCCTCCCCAGACCCCAAAATATGCAAAAAAAGTTTTTCCCTTTTGAGGCTGGATACTGACGAGCATATGAAATCCACACCTGAGGACCTAAATTACCTTCCACAAAGGAAAAAACAGTGGTGATCAATGACGGTATAGAGAAAAATGGACATTAACATCTAGAAGATGGAATTCACTAAAAATGCTGCAAAAGGCACAAATGTTAATTATTATAAAACGAGCTAAATTAAAGATATTAACTTATAAAAGTGGAATAGGTCGAAAAAATACGTAGTCAAGAGGGATTGAAATAATAAATTGTCAATCTCCATTGAACAGTACAGTCTCTAAAGCAAAATTAACAATGTATTTGACCTCCTGTCCTGTAGAAATAAGAGAATCAGCCCAGCCGCAGAGTCCTCCTGGGATTTACACATCCAGAAGACATTGAGGTGTACTGAGTGCAAAAGCAAGGTAATAGGGAAGGGGGATATTCTCTGAGCTACATCGACCTTTATAGCCAAATATCCATGGAATGAGAGAGAGGCATTCAAAATATACCACCACTGAGTGATCCTGACTAAAGGAGGCTTATCTTGATCACTGCACCATCAAGCAATCAGTGATGTGAGAAAGTTGAAAGAGAAGCTGGAGACTCACTGAATGAGTACATTCCATTGCTGCAGGGGACACAGAAAAGCAGGGCCATCCAGAGAGACTCTTCTGAATGAAATAAAAGTATTTGATGCCAGAGGAGGTTCGCTTTTAGCACAGACTGACATCTGTGCCTGGCTGTCATTCTCAAAGCCAGGAAATGAGACTGACCCTGTCACAGATGTCTTCAGGGGAATGCAGAGGACAGAGGTACTGCTCGGCTGTGTGGACACAACCAGGCTGCCCGGAGCACAGGCGACACTGAGTGGACACAAGTTGTGTGGTGCTCACACTAATGCTCACTGAGGATAAAGTGGAGCCCAGTGATGGAAGCAAAGGTGCAGGAGTGTCTCTATGCCTGTTGCTTCCCAGGGGTACAACTGGAATGTATTAACTCAAGGATCTGGAGACCAGCTGGGGGAAGCCTTGTTAAGAACACACTGTGTTTGGAACAGAAGATTGAGAGTTTCGTGATGGAGCCAAGATGCCCATTTATTTCACTAACTAATTAGAGGCCTCCAAGGTACCCTAATGTGCAAACCCAGATTAGTATGTCGGCAGCAAGCTTAACATTTGACATCAACAACCTATGGTGTAAACTAAGATGATCATGTTTAGAGACCGAAAACTCGTTGTAGGAAAAATGAATAAGTGAAGACCAACTCCTCCTCTGCCAAGTCCAGGAAGGCTGCCGGGGCTTCAGGACAGCTATGCAAGATGAACAGGACTAAGGAGGAGAATCTGGACTTGAAGGGAAAGAGAGACACGGGCAAAAGAAGAGCAGGTGTGGAGATGACAAGGAGATGGCCTGATTTGCAGAGTGGGCTATGGCGGGATGGAGGGAGGGCAGGATGTGTTCAGCCAGCAGTGCTCCCAAGGCCAAAGTGAAGATTTTGTCAGCTTCCCCTGTATTTTTAAAAGCTTGATGCTATGTGGTCCAATACTTATGATAGATCTTACATCTTCATTGTGGATTGTATCATTTATCAATTTAAAATAACACCTGGGCCTTTTGCATTTCAATCCAGAATTATGATTTCAAATCTGATATAGCCATCAAAAACGTTGGATTCTTTTCTGAAAGGAACCTACTATCTCAGTGGTGAGGACCAGGCTTGTGAAGGAAAGAGGGTGGTGGCTCTGGGAGAGCCAGGCTGTGGGGTGAGGGAGGGTCCCCCATGCGGAGTGCTGTCTGAGCTGGGACCTACAGGCTTGGCAGGAGCCAGCAGCGGGTGGCAGGAGTTGCTGGTAGGTGGGGAGAACTGTGGCAGAGCATTTCCTTCTGGGCAAAGGGATCCAGGCCAAGACCCCTAGCGGGAGGGGGCTTGGCCACCGAGGCCCTGAAAGGAGGCCCTGTGGCTGGAGACCAGAGGGCGAGGGGACGAGAGGAGAGTGCAGGGCTGGGCAGGAAGCAGGACCCACAGGTCTTCAGCACCTTGCAGGCCATCACCTCGCAGGATTGTGGCTTTTTATCTCAACAACATCAGGAAGAAAGGTTTTTAGGCAGGGGGTGAAATTCTGAGAATTTCACTGAGAACAGATCACCGTGGCTGCAGTGGGGAGGGACGGAGGAGAGCTAGTGCAGACTGGTGAGGCGAATCAGGAGGCAAATCTAGTTCCAGGTGGGAAGGGTGATCCCTTGGACCAGCGCGGGGGGGCAGCAGAGGTGGGGAGAAGACGACAGATGAAAGATGTATTTAGGATTAAAATCTACATGGCTGGTGACGAAGAGGGACGCTCCTAGGGTGGTTCCCAAGTTTCTGATCAGAAGGTAGTGCCAGTGATTCATTCAGAAATGCAACCATTAAGATCATGAAGATCATGGACTGAGGCTTAAGATGCCTTTGAAGGATCTGAGGGGAAATATCACAGAGACATTTAGAGAGCTCAGAGGAGAGGGCCAGACTATAGATAATAACTTGGGGACCATCAATCATGTTATAGATGGTATAAAGCTAGGACATGAATTAGATTCTTCATGAATAGAATACAGAGTGAGGAGAGGGATGGGTCTTCAACATTTACATGTCAACAGAGGAGGCTGAGCCTTCAGAATTAGAAGAAAAACCAGGACTGTGGTGGTGAGAGCCAGCAGGAAGGAGCATGTCACTGAGGAGGGAGCAGTCAACAGCGTGAAGAGATGCTGCGACAGCCAACAACTTAACTGAAACTGTCCCCTGGACTTAATGGCACGAAGGTCACTAGTGAGAACTAGTTGGGTGAACTGATGGGGGTAGAAGTCAGCCTGGAGTAGGTAAAAGAATGAAAAAGAAGTGGAAAAATGGAGACTGTGAATGGAAACCACACTTCCAAATGTCTGGCTGTCAAGTAATGAGAGAGAGTATTGTAGCTAGAGAGTTGCGTGGGAGCCAGAAAAAGCTTCTTGTTGTGCTAAGATGGCAGATATTTGAGCATGTTTACATGTCAAAAGAAATGACCCAGGGAACAGAGAATGGATCACTGATGACTTACTGAATAACGTTCCCGAGAAAGCGGGACAGGACAGGATCCAAGGCACAGGGTGAAGAAGTGGCCCTGGACAGAGGAGGTACACCTCCTCTCCTATAATGGGGGGAAACAGAGATGACGCAAGAGTGTGAAGGTAGGCCTGTAGGTTTGGTGGCCAGAAGTTGAAGAATTCGGTTGCTTCAATTTTCTCAGTGAAGTGGGAAATGAGGTCGTGTGTTGGGAAGAGTGAGGTGGGTGGAGACCCTCTGAGATCCGTAGCTACCAGAGTCAGGGAGGTGAGTGATGAGACTATAAATTCATAGCTTGATCAGTTTGTCCTGTTGCGTAACTTTTTGCAGGAGCACTTGCTCCCTGGGTCCAGGTTGGTGAAGGGGGCACCCCATGGGGTGGGTCAGGATTGGGATCTTGCCAGAAGGCTGAGGTGAAAAGGTGGGAGACCAGGGGATTTACAGTAGAGCAGTAAGATCACTGGACTGGGATCTTGGGTCCCATACCTGGGATCAACTGACTTCAAAGGCAAGAGCTGATGACAGCAGAAAGGTTAAAGGACTGGGGGTCCCGGTGAGGTCCAACAACCTCAAGAGAATTCTCATTTTGATATTGAGCAAGCTAAGAAAGTCCAGGTGATCATGAAATAAAACAAAAACAGCACTATTTTTCATAAATCCCTTGGCAATCTGATTGGAATACATGGCTATTAACAGTAACGGTGGCAAACAAAAGCATTGCACGTTTGAACCAAACCAAGAGCTTTTTTGTAGTACTGTGTGAAATCAACTTGCTTAGTAAAACTTTTAAAAAATGAGAGTTGCCACTAAAACTCAAGGCATTATAAACAATTTTCATTTTATCATTGGTGATTACTTGCTAGCTTTCTATGCCAAGGTGGTATATCAAAGGACTGCCTAGGATCTACTCCTCGTTACCAAATTTGGTAATTCACAAATGCTCTCAAGTAATGAGAGGAATGAAGATGGGGTGGGGGTGGGGTAAAAGACTTAAGAATAAAAATCGAATTTATTCCCCCAACCAAACTGTGGTAGGAACTCAGAATGGAAGGTTTAAAATAACTGCTTCACCAGGAATAGCCCCAGGCCAGATGGCATCTAAGTCTAGCTGCCATCACTCCCACTAACCAGATATGCTTAGCGTGAATTTGCGAGTTCTCCCAACAGGCAGGGGCCAGGACCAGGTTTAAAACTGAGAAGGAAAATGGCTGTAGGAGTACTGGCAGAGCATTTTTTAAGGATATGGTTTCTTCTACCCTTGGATGCTTACTATATTTATTTTAGGCAAAGTTAAGTTTTTTTGCCTTTAAGAAAAACATGTATCTATAAATGCTCGCTGAGTTGCTGATGCCAACGCTGAAAATGAGAAGTGTTTCCTTAATTCCAAATTAACTGATTAGAGTGAATAAGGCAGTTTAGTTCATCTCTCAGAGGATGAATTAAAAGTAAGACCTGGACAAAAATCTCTAATAACTCACCAAGAAAATTAACAAAGATATACCAAAGAATGATATTAGCTAGTATTCAGCCACGTGTACGTGCACGCAGACACACATAGTGTTTGCAGGAATTAATTTAAATTACTTTTAATAGTGATCCATGGAGTAAATGCAATTAATTTGGAAATTTAATTCTTGGTCTTTAGGGAGGTACTAACAGTTTAACAGTAGATTATTTCAAAAAGGTGGCTAAAAGACTAGTGTGTACAATAGGAAAAAACTAGGAAGAAATGCATGGAAATGTTCACAAAATGGAAGTGAGAGTGGGGAAGGGAGCTTAGAAAACAGTCTAACTTCCTCCTCCATGAAGATTCTCCCCAATCCCTGAGTGTAGGGACTAAGTCTAATTTATAGACAAGAGGAATTAAATTAATTTTCTGCTGAAATTTTTCACATGGTGTCCTTGGTGGAAGAAAGGAAGGAAGGAGGATGGAAAACCAGGGCTGGTGCCAGACCGCAGGGAACTGGACTCAACAGAACGTGCAATGTAGCCCTTTCCAGACAGCATCCGACTTCCTGGTTCTTTTTAAATGTGGGGAAATGACGTGTGAATGGCAGCTTTGCATGGCAACAACATGAGAAACATTTAAGAATAATTCCTAAGAGCTCTCTCTAGAAGCGAGTGACAGACCATGTATTGTTAGGCCGCACGGAGGGCCAAGCGTATAGCCAGCCAAGTGCACATGACCTATGACCACCCAAAAATGTATTGGCTGTGACTTCATAGTCCTTTCACATGCAAGCTCTTTAAAAACAAAGGTCAAAACCTCTGATACTAAATTTAAATTCCTACAACCCTCATCCTAGCGAGATTATACATACTTGTACTGCAGGAGGTTTCGTTTTCTCATTCCTTTAAAAACTCTTATTGAAGTCCACATTGGATTTGGGTAGCACAGGAATGCACCGCAGAGTGAATGAATGCAAAGGAGGCAGAGTCGGTTCTGTCACTCACCAGAAAGGGGCTCTGAGGAGCTCTGACCGACACACAGACCATATTTACCTGAGCTATGACATCTGAGATGGAGGCACATCCCACCAGGAAGCTGTATTTGTGTTTTAAGAGAATGCCAGCATGGGTCCACGCCTGCCAGAAAGAAAATAATTTGGCATGAGATACACCTTCAGGATTATATAATGTCTGTCATTATGATTTACTGTGCATTCCTGAAATAGACTTTATACCTCCAAAAACCTGAGCACAGGTTTGATAAGTCTCTGGTTGGTAAAATTACTGTAACTTGGCTTGGTGACTAGATCCACGTTAGATTTTTGAGTGGAGTCAATGACTGCGCAGTATTTATTTAGTACCAATTATATGCAGACTGTGTAGTTGTTAGGTTCATGCGCCCGGCAGGAGATCTGGGTGAATACCAGAATGGAGGAAATCCACTCTCTTTCTCTTTGAGCAGTCTGCATCACACAGCAGCAGCGTCCTCCTTACACGAAGCAGGTTATAATGACTCTAATTTGGTTCTGAGTTATTAGTCATTAGAGGTTCTCAGTGACTGGCTAGGGCTCTACTATTTCCTTCTCTGACACTTTGTGCCTTTGAGGGAAATTAAGAGGGTGGTCCTATAAGGGGGGCAGACAATGAAGAGCCCAGGGGAGGGCAGGTTTGAAGTTCATGATAGGATCTGTTTAAGGATCAACCTTCTAACCTTTCAAGATCTGGACTGACGCAGCAATAACATTTCATCTGTGCTAACCACAATCAGCCAAGTATGATTTATTCCCTAGGTCTGTGTCAAGACTTTACATAGCAGCTGCTACCTCTGCTTCCGTCCTCAGCTCAGGTCTCCAGGTACCAAATGTGAAAAGAAATGCAAACTGTAGATAACACCTGCAGAGAGTGGCCTGTGGGCAGTCTCTGTTGACCAAAAGCCATCTGGATGATAAGCTCTGTGGTTTTCAAATATTGTCTCTCCAACCAGCATATCAGGGGCATGCTGCAGGGGTGTGTGTGTGTGCGTGCATGCAGGTGTATGTGTGCGTGCATGCATGTGTGTGTTTGCGTGTGTGTAGGTGTGTGTGTGCATGCAGGTGTGTGTGTGTGCATGCAAGTGTGTGTGTGGAGACGACCTGCTCTTTATAAATGTTCATTATTTTGGCTTTTATTAGTAATCTCTTACTACTGGGTCTTTGGGGAGTTGATAGATGAAACATGGAAGAAAAGGGTGCCACCACAAATGTTCCGGTGTTATATTGAGTTTTACAAATTCTCTCATGGCAAATAAACAAAGCTGAAGGGAAGTGGAATACAGGGCACTTAAGAGTCTGTGATTCACTTTCGGTCCTGAGGTCCCTGAATTCACTGTATAATTGTAATTCTTCTATGTGTTCACAGAGTCCCAATACAGATGGGAGGGCAGGCAGTAGAGCAATATCATGGACTCTGTCTAGGAAGCTGGGCTGTAACTTTTAGGATGTGAAAAAGCTTGCTTCATTCAGGTCTCTAACTGAGTTGAAGGCACTATGGTACCACCGCAGGCCAGCATGGGTACCGTGGGGAATCTGGTTCTATGGACTCCATGCCCTTTGCCTTTTTTGAGGTATGTGTCAATTACCACAGTAAATACACCCAGCGATAAGTAAGAAAAAGAAAACCCAGGTACAAGTGTCTAGATGGCCAAGTCTTCCCACCTAAAGTGATGTCATGACAATTGAGAACCAGAACCTTCGCATCAAAACCAAGAGTGTGATATTTAAGGCTACCATGCAAACCAGTAGAAAGCTGTCAGAGATTCAGTGAGGCCGCACCCCTAACCTAACTACAGGCAAACCGAGACTTCTGATTACATTTGAGAAGATGGACCACATATGTTTTTACCTTGCCTCATTCCTCCAGGGATTCAGGGCGGCTGCCTACCTCAATACAGACATTCACTTAGCTCACGTCTAACAGATATAACACTTGAGGTAAGGGGTGGTAAAAAACTGTACAGATTGACATATTTTTAAGTCTCCTTCCAAGGGTAATTTAAAATGGAGCCCAAATAAAGGGTTTATTTTCCAGCATTGGACATTAGAAGAAATATATATATATTTATTTATTTTTGTGTGAGGAGGACTAGCCCTGAGCTAACATCTGATGCAAATCCTCCCCTTTTTTCTTGAGGAAGATTGGCCCTGGGCCAACATCCGTCCCCATCCTCCTCTGCTTTATACGGGATGCCGCCACAGCATGGCTTAGCAAGCAGTGCATGGGTGCGCACCCAGGATCCAAACCGGCGAACCCCGGGCTGCCGCAGCAGAGTGTGCACACTTAACTGCTGCGCCACCGGGCCGGCCCCATAAGAAATATTTTTTTGGCTAAATCTCTTTTATATCCATAACACAGATGAATAGAGAAAAAGCATTGTCTGAGAACTCTTCAGTATCATGACCAACAATTTAATCTATGGAAGTGAGCTACGCTTAGTTAATGTGGTAAAGCTGGTTATTAAAGTGATAAAATCCTAGCAGTATATTCTTTGGGTGCTTTTACCACACAAGTGGTAAGTTTATCAGAAAGCCATCCTGATCCCTTGATCCTGAATATATCAGAAAAGAACTTTATATTTGAATCAAAATGTTCAAATGGGCTCTCTTGCTTCCCACCACATCTTGTGGCAAATACAGACAATTCTCATAAATAAACTGACCAGATGGACTGGTTAAAAGTCAGTGGTCAATTGGAACCCTTCTGCACTGCTGGATGTAAAATGGCACAGCTGCTGTGGAAATCAGTATGATGGTTCCTCAAAAGGCTAAAAACAGAATTATCACATGATCCAGCACTCTACTTCTGGGTATATACCCAAAAGAATTAAAGCAGGGACTCAAAGAGATATTTTGTACATCCATGTTCATAGCAGCATTATTCACAATAGCCAAAAGGTGGAAGCAACCCAAGTGTCCATTGATGGATAAATGGATAAACAAAATGTGGTATATACATACAATGGAATATTACTCAGCCTTAAAAAGGAAGGACATTCTGACATATGCTACGGATGAACCTTAGAGACGTTATGTGAAGTGAAATAAGCCAGTCACGAAAAGATAAATACTGTATGATTCCACTCATATGAGGTCCCTAGAGTGGTCCAATGCATAGAGACAGAAAGTAGAATGGTGGTGGTGCCAGGGGCGGAGGGGAGGGGGAACAAGGAGTGTTTAATAGGGACAGAGTTTCAGTTTCACAAGATGAAAAGAGTTCTGAAGATTCAAAACAATGTGAATGTATTTCATGCCATTGAACCGTACACATAAAAATGGTTAAAATGGTAAATTTTGTTATGTATGTTTTAGCATAATTAAAAAAAAAGGCAACCATCTTCTCTACTCACCATTGCATCCATGAAAGGGAAGGCAGCAAGATACAGGAAGGCCCTTCTCGTTTTGTTCCCCACCGACTCATCCACATGGTGCAGTTTATTGATAATGTAGTAGCCTAAGTCACTATAAGCTGCAAAGGGTCAAAAAACACATATGGCTACACTTAGAAAAAGTTATCTTCATATGCTTTTTATCTCATGGTTTAAAAAACAATTTTAAATGCAATATGTGTCTTTTGTAGAAAAATTAGAAAATTTAGATGAACAAATAGAAGAAAATCATCTACAATCTCATCCTTCTATCCAGAGGGGGTCACGGTTAACACTCTGGGTTCTAATCACCCAGTTCTTTTATGGGGGGGGGTGTGGTGGGTGAATGTGGGGTATGCATGTGTGTCTTACCATAAAAATGGGATCACACTATAGATATACTCTTTTGTAAATCATGAACATCTTTCGATGATACGCTTCCACATTGTAATGGTTGCACTGAATTCCTTTTTGCAGGTTTACTCAGCATCAACTTACTCAATCTCCCATTATTGTCCATTTAGGTTATTTCCATTATTTTGATATCATAAAAGAATGCTTAATGGATAGGTTGGAAGCTAAATGTTTACACATATTCTTAATTATTTCACAGAAAATTTCTAGATGTTAATATCCCTTTTCAATAAAAATGTTAAAGCTAGCTTTTCACCACTTGACATTTCTTTTGTTTCATTTTTTGAAAGAAGGGTGGCAACTTTGGGTATAGTCCTGCCCAGTGGAAATATGATATCTCTGAGGTGCTTTTGAAGTCCCTCCAACATTGGGATTTGTGACCAGTGTGTGACTGGAACATAATGGCACTTACCCAAAATGTACCAAATGAATGTGTAGGTGCCGGATAATAAAAAGGAAGAAAGAGAAAGGTCTTCCTAACGAATTAGCTACATTAGGTATTATTAGCAAAGATTAAATAAAATATTAAGCTATTTTCTACCTCATTGGTACACGTTTAGACTATATAGGAAAATAATCATCTTTGTGTTTTTCATAGTGTTTTACATAGTGCTTTAACAGTAGTGTTCCTGCTGTTTTCATTCTTTTATAAATATAAATATTAATGTACTTGACAACTACAGGAACAGCTTTGAAATCAGAAAGGAGATAGAACACAGTGAGAGTCCCACTTTACGTGAAATAATAAGAATCCCTCCTCCCATTTCAAAGTTTGGGGATGACTTATTACCACATTAACTGGGAAAAAGAAATAACTCTCCATCCTTTGTTGGGATTAGTCTTGAATTGTGGGAATTTTGAATCAAGTGAGGTCTTCAGGATGACATCAGGGATATTTAAATGCACAAATGGGGGAATCTCAGTGGGGGCAGAGGTAAGTGATTTCCAAGGGAAGGGCGCTGGATGGGCTAAGACATCCAGAGAAGAAGGGGGTGGGGGAGGCAAATGCAGCAGGAGAGGTCCAGGTCCTCTGAGTGGGGGCAGAGGTGGAACCTAAAAGGTGAGGTGCCAGGTGAGAAACGGTGTCAGGTGTGGAGTGCGGCTGGACCAGCAGAGCCACCGAGGCAGCAGGAAGAGAAACCCAGGAGGGAGGGGGACACACGGCAGAAAGAGAAAAGACGTGGGAAGGTGGGATTAGCTAAGGCAAGGGGACAAGGATGGAAGGAGGCAGCTGTGATGTCCCTGTCTGGATCAGAAGGAGCACAGCCGAAAGCGGATTAGAGGGGCCTTGAGCTGACCGGGGAAGGCAGGCAGGGAGAGCTCCAGCCCGCCTTTGCAGCGAGGTAAGGAGAGCAGTGGGATGTAAGATAAGCCGACAGAAACACAAAGGCAGGATGAAGCTGTTACTTTAAATCTACAAAGGGTCTACTTTGGGTGCCGAACCTTGGAAATTTTGTCTCAAAGTTTATTGTTGCTGCGGTTTATTCATTTTCATCCAGTCAGGAAACGTTCACTGAGCTGAGACCTGCAAGGAGACAATTCTGACCCTGGCCGCTCCACTGTCCCCACCCTGGCAGAGGCCGCTGGCAACGGTCAAGGCAGCCAGGCTGGGTGAGCAGAGCAATGCAATGCTAAGTGCAGGAGCCCGGGCTGGCTATGAATAGTTCATGAGCTAAGATTCCCTGGTAAAGGTTGGAGTCGATATAAAAAGCCGGCTGAGTGGACCTGACCATGTGGCCAAAGCTGGGACTGAGAAACTGGTGAAAGGCCGAGATCAAGAGGGCGGTGTTCTGGGCTGAACTGTGTCCTCTCAAAATTCCTGTGTTGAATCCTAGCCCCCAGTACCTCAGAATGTGACTATTATTTGGCAACAGGGTCATTGCAGATGTAATTAGTCAAGATGGGGTCATACTGGAGTAGAGTGAGCCCTAATCCAATATGACTGGTGTCCTTCTAAAAAGAGGAAATCTGGACGCAGAGATAGACGCGCACAAGGAGAACGCCATGTGAACGTGAAGGCAGAGAACAGGGTGACGTGCCTCCAAGCCAAGAACACCACAGATGGCCAGCTACCCGCCAGAAGCCGGGGAGAGGCCTGGAACAGATTCTCCCTCACGGCCCTCAGAAGGAACCAACTCAGCAGACACCTCCATCATCCAGCCTCCAGAACTGTGAGACAATAAATTTCTGTTGTTTGAGCCACCCCGTTTGTGGTACTTTGTTCCGACAGCCCTAACAAACTCAGACAGGCTGCTTCTGAGAAAGGGAGAGCGTGACTTTCCTGTGAGACTCTGGGGTAGTGGCAAGAAAAGATGGAACATATGAACTCGAGCAGGCGAGAGCAAGGCGTGCCATTTGCTTGCGTGGGCTGGGGGGGGGGTGCAGAGATCAATAGAGATAAGCTTCTCTACCCTATGTAAATACACCCACTTATTAGAATATTTTAACTAAAACATAAAAACGATGTGTTTATGCAGAGTAATGAATTGTAAACACTCAAGTCTGACAGGGTCTGAAGGAGTGCGGGTGAGGAGCCCACCCAGCTTTCTCACTCCGCCAGCATGCGCCCCCCTACCCCCACCTCACTTTTTCCAGCCTGCAGCTCCCACAGGGCTCTTCTTGGGTCCCCAGGTTCCAGGTACTTTAGGACCTATAGGCCCAAGGCTACTTTTGTTTCTTTTTACTTCTTTTCTTCTTTCAGCTACTAGAGGAAAAATCTGGAGGCCAAGGAAAGAGGCTTTTTCTCCCCATTTTTCTTCTGGTCTGATGATAACTACTGTACAAAGGTTGCTTCCACCCTGTGAGGTTCAGTGTGAAATCCCAGCAGCTGTTTTTCACCCCTCTCTCCTTCCCTCCCTCCCCTCCTCTCCCTCCCTCCTGGGCCTGGAGCTGTTTCTGGCTGGAGCTGTTGGCTGGGGTGATTTGTTTAAAGTGCTTTGCATAGAGTCCATAATTACCAGGCTAGCTGCCCTAACAGCATTTAATAACCTTTGAGTTCTATAAACTGCCTTACCAAGATTGTTCTGAAACAGCTTCTATTCCTTATGAAGAGCAGAAAATTAAAAAGAAAAATTAAACAAGGTTTTTGAACAGATATAAAGGGATTTCCTGATGTAGCCACAGCAGGGGCACATCGACCTGACCTGTTCACAGGTAGACAGCTTTGACCCTGCCCAAACAAGAAGAAACCAGAAGGGCCATTCAAATCCCTAGCTCCTCTGACCTCAGCCCACCAGGTCCAGGGAGCCTTTCCAGAATCAGTGGTTCTCAAGCTTGGTCATCTAGCAGTTACTAGCACTTGTTGCAAAATGCCACGAAATATTAATATTAATCAAAACAAGTCTATATACCTCTATTTTCCCATAGAAATTGAGAAGAAAGCCCTCCTCCCATTTTAGTCACAGGACAATATGTATATTTCCAAGAAGCAAATTTGAGAACTCTTGTTCTAATTCAAATTCTCAAGTTCTCATGCACAAGTACTGTCGATTGTCCCACTATCTTCTGTTTATAGGCTTTTCACAGGAGCAGGTAGCTTCACCCCTCTGTTTCTAACGTATCATTTCCAAAGTGTGTGTGTTTGTATGGCTGATATTTAAATCAGTTCAGCAAATATGGTTGAATGACTTATAAGCATCAGGCACTGTGCCAACTAACCCAGCTGTGAAGAGGCTGGTTCCTTGCATGAGGGCTGGTACACAGACATATGATATACTCATCTATAATCTACACCGGGCAACATTTATCTGGAAGATATGCAGATGGCGGTGCAAACACTGCCTAGGCCTTGGAGAGATATTATAACCCCTGTACAAAGAAAATAGAGTAAATGTCAAATTTAAACACAAGAACATAAATTCTACCTCATTGGTATCAAGACTCGGTAGAGTGGGGTTCGTAACAATTTATGGGACAGTATCTGCTTCTTTCTAGAGAACATGTCTTACTCATCTCTGAATTCCAAGGATCTAGCCAGTGTTTGCCGCGTAGTAAGTGTTCAATATATACTGATTGAATAAATGCATGAGTCTGTAAGCCCCCCAAGAAGTGACTGGGGTAGACTGCAGGAATGTCCCCACTTCTTCTCTCCTCCTCATATCCCCACTCTGCAATGTGACTTTGTAGCTCCTCCTGTAAAAGTTGGAGTCTATTTCCCTACCCCTTGACCCTGGACTGGCCTGTGATTTGTTTTGGCCAGTAGCGTGCAGTGGCAGTGATGGTGTGAATCTGGGCCTCAAGAGGCCTTGTGTGTCTCTGTCGTCTCACTGGAATATAGCCACGGCCGTCTAAACAAGCTTGGGCTACACTGGTGGAGGATGCGAGACTATGTGGAAGAGAGCTCAGCTGTCCCAGTAGAGGTCATGCAGACGAGCCTACAGTCAGCTGACAGCCCCTCAGTGAGCCCGCCAAGATAGCAGAGCCTCCTCCTGACTCTTGCTGACTATAAAACCACGAGCATAGCCACATCCAAAAGAACCACCCAGCCGACCCATGGTCTGGTGAGCAAGAATAAATGCGTGTGTTTTGAGTCACTGAGTATTGGTGGTTTGTTACATAGTGATAAATTACGAGACTATACTGAAACTGCCTGTTCGTTCCTGGCACCCTTGTTGGTTTAAATTATATCAAATTGTATTAAGTCATCCTTTACACGGCTGGTTTACAATCCATGAATAATGGACAAGTT